CTTTCTTAATATATTTATAGGACGGTGAGAACTCGCCCACAACTCCCACCACCCCAAAACAAACCATGTACCCCATAACGTCCGCCCTCCCATGGCCTCGTCCCCACCCCTGGCAACCGCTGGCCTTTCTCTGTCCACTTGGCTGTTCTGGAAGCAGCACAGAGTCCCTTTACACGCGCCTCTGTGGCCAGGATCATACTGACACGGAGAGGATGATACTTGTGCGGTTCCTTCAGCAAGGAGTTGCTGGGTTTTGATTTACATTTGTCACGCACCTTCTCTTTTACAGTGCCAGGGATGGAATCCAGGGCCTTGAGCATGCTCTGGCCCTGAGCTACATCCCTAGACTGTGATGGACTTTTCCTGAAGTGCATTTCCTTCCACTACTTGTATTTTTCCACGTAAGGGAACAATCATGTGCTCACACTCCTGTAGTCCCTGCAAGGTGGGTATGCATGGGGCATTTGGAAAGTGGGTCTGGGCCTGCCACCCTGCGGGTCCCCTGACCCTGGCAGCACCTCCTGCTCCCTCCTCTCTCCAGCAGCCCCCGCCTCTCCCCTCTTTCTTGGTCCACCCTGGCCCTGGCTGTCCTCAAAGTTGGAAAGGACAGAGCAGAGCCTGCCGGCAGCAGCCCATCCCTCCTGTCAACAAACTCCAAGGACCGCTGTGGGCTCGCTTCTCCCCTGTTTTGCCCAGAAGTAACATCTACAACGAGTTTAATTATGCAATTAAAGTCATTTTCCTGGGCTGAACAAATATTTACAGCATATTTTGCTGTAAATTGCTTCGCCTGGAGAAGAGCTCTGAGGCTCAGGCAGGCAAACACTCCCACAATTACATACCCCATTACCAGGGGACCAGCAGCCAAACTGGGCTCAGGGGCCTGGGGCTGTGTGGGCCGAGCGCCCCAGAAAGCAGCACCAACGCCACCACACTGGCAGGTGTCCACCAGCACACGTGTTCTGCCCTGCGCCGGCGCTTCTGTGGACCCAGGGGCTCCTGCTGCTCCTCCTCGGTGGCCCTAAGTCCCAGCTCTGTGCATTAGAGAGATGTCTGAGCTTTGTCCTGCTGCCCCATGGTGCATGGGACGCTTCCAGAACAATCTGCCTGCGTGGGCTGTGAGCCCACCACTCTGCCTGTTGCCGGTTCATTGGTCCTAAGGGGGCTTTGTAGAGACCCTATGTTTTGAGCCTTTCCCAGGGACCCCCACAGTGTCCCCCCAGCTTCCTGGCTGAGCAGGGGCAGGAGAACTGTAGGCAAAACTTCAGGATATTAGGAAAAGCTAATCTGCATCATTTTGCTTCAGCTAAAATACTTCTATCAGGAGTTCCCTTTCCTCCCATGTCTCCATCCATGGGGCCCGCCGGTCAACTAGGGGCACTCTCAGTCCAAGAGCAACCCTGTCCCCATCACTGCAAAGTTGGGAGCAGGAGAAACAGCAAGGCATGGGAGGGGACAGGATGGAATCCACATCTGTTCCCGGAGCTGGGGTGGGAGCCCCTCTGCTGTGGGGAGGGCTGGGGCCAGGGTGGGGTGGCTGGAGGGTTAGTCGGGGTTCAGGGGGGCTGCTCTTCCCCAGCCAGATGAGGGGATTTCTGCTGGATGGCAGGCGTGGCCGGAGGGGGTGCCGGCCTTGGTGTGTGCACAACCTCGACCTCGTACCAGTCTGTCTAGGTCACCCCACTCTGTCCTACTCCCCCATCACACTGGCACTGGAGAGGCCCTGCAGGAAAGACACTCCAGCTGAGCAAAACGGTGACAACATGGATAACACCGCCACATCCCCCACCCAGCCAGACTCCAGCTGCCTGGAAGGTTTCCGGCCCAAGAGGAGAATTAGCTTACAGGACCTGTAGTCCGAAATCACCACCGTTACTGCTTTCTGATGTATTTGTGAGAGTCTTTTCCTAGACACAGATGTACCAGTATCCACTACACCTGGTCCTCTACTTGTACACCTACAGTGACGGTAGGTAAATGACCTTTGCAGAGCCATCTGAAGTGGCCCTCGAGTTGTCTATCCAAGCTACAGTTCCACTGAGTAAGTACCTACTGCCAGGGTTAGGTTTGATCCTAATTGTTGGCCACGATAAACAGCTTCGTAATGAACACTTGGGCTGCGAAATCTTTTTGCTCAGCCCGTTTTTCTCTTGGGACACATTTCTTGGAGGCAGAATGACAGGACCCAAACTCAAGACCTTTGGCTAAAATCTTTGAGAAGGAGGAAGGTGGCTGTCGGGTTGGGGGTCACCGTGCAAGGAGGAAAACGCCTTCGTTGTTCCTGGTTGGCTCTGCTCTCTGGCACCTGGTCCTGAAATCCAGAACAGCTGTGGGGTCAGGGCTGGAGGTCAGAGCTGGTCACCAGTGCCTCTGCTGCCGCAGGCTCTGTCCTGGATGCAGTTCCAACACAGCCGCAAGAGACCTAGAATAAAGCAGAAATGGGGAGCGCTGCCCTCCTGGGGCACCACTGTGTACCAAGCCCTCCTGAGTCATCTCACTCGATCCTTTCAACAGCCCACCCACCCTCGCAGAGGTACGGGTAGTCTCGTGCTCATTTTACAGCTGGCGAAACTGAGGCTCAGACTTCCGTGAGCCAGTGGCCCAGGGGCAGGGGAGGTGGTGTCCCAGGTTGCCAGTGTCGCCCTCCCAGGAAGGAAGGAGGGCAGCAGGGAGGAAGCAGGCAGCCAGCCCTTGCTGGTGGTGGCCTCCCGGAAGGGCTGCACCCAAGGGAGCCCAGCAGGCTCTTGGCTGTAAAATCACGTCCCTGCCGTGTGACATCCAGAGAGGTGCATGTGAGGCCAGGGGCTCAGGTCAGGGCAAGGCCAAGGACAGGGGGAGAGAAGAGAGGACTGCGGTCCCGCCACCGTTCGTGTGGTCCTGCTGTGCTCTTGCCTTTCTCCCAGACTCCAGTGTAGCTGTAGCCACTCTTGGAGGTCAGGGGCAGCAGAAGATGGCAGCCGTGGGGCTGGTTCTCAGGCCCCTGTGGCCCTGTGGAGTTGGCTGAGTAGGGGTCAGGAGACTTCGGCACTTCCTCTGCACTCCAACCCCGCCTCTCCTGACAGCCGCCCACCCTCTCCGCCTCCTGCCCTATCCATCCTCCCCCTGAAGACCTGACCCGTGACTCCAAAGGGTAAGGTCACAGTTGTCTGCTGACGAGAGCCACAAGTCCCAGCACAAAATCCAGAGGAGACAGAGGGAAAGCTCAAGAGGTACGGTTGGGGAAACTGAGTCCTAAACCACTGTCAAGTAATGAGTCCTTTCAGCCCCCTGAAAACTCTTACTGTGTTTAAGTCACCTCCCCCAGGCTCCCAGGGCCCAGTGGCAACATGGTCACACATGATGCTGCTGGACAGGGGCAGTGCTGCCGGAGGACATGAGGGGTTCCCAGGAGCTTTGGTTGCACAGGGAATGGGGCCTGCAGAAGGCCCAGAGGAGGACTCCACACACAGGGCGTCATTTCGACAAATCACAGCCGGATTGCCCCTTTTGGGGTCCACAGAACTTCCCCAAGTCCCCCAGGGCATGGACAGATAGGGCCCAGGGCCTGTGGTTTGCCTCTGCCTCTGCCTCAGCCTCCAGGGAACACCTCCTGTCTCCTCTACTGCGTGGTTCTGGAGCCAGAAAATGTCAAGAAAATGCTCCACAAGAAGAAGAACCGAGTTTGTAAGCCACCGACTTAATACTGAACTGATGTTGAAGACCATTAAGTGGTTTCTTTCCGATTGGTGGTTTCGGTCTTCCAGTGCGCCAGTGGTAAGGAGCTGGGTCCGAGTCTTTGCTTGAAGGAGGGGACGCTGGCGACTTCCTAGCCCTGCTGCTCACCCCTGACCTCAGGGTCCCCACCTACGAAGCTGACGCGATCTCAACTTCACGGTCCACACGGACAAGCAAAGCAGGGAAGAAAGTGGAGAAGGCAGCCGAGGTCTGCGAGGTGGCGAGGGGAGGAAGCAGGGTGTCTTCATGCTGCTGGCTGGGGTGTGGGCGAAGGCAAGGCTGGAGGGGGTCGTGCTTATCTGCAGAACGAGGTGTGATAAGGAGTTTATGGTTTGATACCCAACAAATGCTGGGAACAGAGGAGCCCTGGCAGGGGCTGGAGGTGGCCCTGGGCCAGGTCACCCTACCTGCCTCCTGCAGGCTCAGAGCACAGAAAAGCTCAGGGGCACTCAAACAACAGAGGCCTGGCTTCCTCTTCTGAAGAATGCTTTTCTAGCTGGGTAGAGTGGTACTTGCCTGTAATCCCAGCACTGAAGCAAGCGGAAGCAGAAAGATCAAAGTCCAAGTCCCGCCTGGGCAACCTAACAATTTATTGAGACCCTGTCTCAAAATAAAAAATGTAGGGGCCGGGGATTTAGCTCAGTGTTTCTGCCTCCTGCCTTGCAAGCACAAGGGACCTGAGTTTGATCCCTGGTACCCAAAAAACAAATCAAATAAATAAATAATTTAAAAGGGCTTGGGATGTGGCTCAGTGCAAAGGCCCTGGGTTCAATCACTGGTACTTCAAAAAAGAACAGCAACAACAAAACCCGACAAAAAAATTCCAAACAGAAATGCTTTTCTCCCCACCCTGAGCTTTATTGGTGGCAGATGAAAAGTGTTACTCAGAAAAAAAAGGATTAAGAGGCAAAAGCCCTTGAACTGCCCACAATGCAGTTCTTGGGGAAGGCTGAGTCCCAGACCCACGTTTTTATCAAAAGGCACATTTTAACACTCCCTTCCAGTCCAGCTGCGCAGGCTGGAGGGCTGTAGCCCTGACGAAGGGCGCCACCTAGTGGCCGAAGTTCATTCAGCAAATGCAAGGGGTCAAAGCAGAGCTCTTTGGTTGACTTGGGAAAAATCAAGGAAACCAAACTCATCTTTTTTCTATCAAAGTTTATTTTGTAAATTTTTCCCCCAAGAAGTGACAAAGGGAGCACATTGCAGTTATGTGAAGGTAAGGAAAGGATCATATACAAAAATAATTTAAACACACATTTGAGTAACAAAGCGACATCTCTTTCTGGTAACAACTAGTAGGTGATAATCTTGCCCAAGATTTTCCCAAAGGTATTAAACATATTTTAGACAACCATGCGCACAGATACACACACACACGCACGCACACACACACACACGCACGCACACACACATATATACAGCTCAAGTATTGTTTCTGTGCAATCCAGCTAACTGATAGAGTTAAAGTGAAGAAACTGGAACCAGCCTGAGTAACCTGATGAACATGCCTTGCCCGTGAATTTTGGAGATGTGCAAAGATGCCCCTCCCCACCCCATTAGCTGCTATTGTTCTCTATGGTTCTCACCCGATCAATTAAGTGCACCTCTCTGATCTGCTCTACCGTGTGGTCATTGTGCTGCGGCCAGCGTGGGTTCGGGAAGACTCGACTTCTCTCACTCTGGGTGAGGAAGCGGGTGCTGCGGAAGGGAGAGCCCTTGGCTTCCGGCTACATCTGGCGGACCCTTTGCTTCAGAGCCAGGATCTCCCTCTCGATTTCATAGGGGAGGTCAGCGTTGACCTGGTCTTCCAGATACTTCTCAATGTCTTCTACCTCTTTCTCCCAGAACCCTCTGGAAACGCTGAAGAGCTCCTCCACGCTGACCTCGCCCAGGCCTTTCAGGTTCAAGGCTCCCTTCTTGGGAATGTAGCCGATGGGTGTGAGCTGGGCGCTGTCTTCCCCGTTGATCCGGTTGAACATCCACTCCAGCACCCTGGAGTTCTCTCCGAAGCCCGGCCAGAGGAATCTGCCCTCCTTGTCCTTCCGGAACCAGTTGACGTGGAAGATCTTCGGCAGCTTGGCTGCCGGGCGGTGAGCCATGCTCAGCCAGTGTGCCAGGTATCTGCCGAAGTTGTAGCCAAAGAAAGGCCGCATAGCAAAAGGGTCGTGCATGATGACTTTGCCTGTTAAACAAGCAGAGAGGCTCACTAGTAAATAATGTGCCCCAAGGCGGTATGGTATGGCCATCATTTACTCTGGTTCCCTCTCCCTCTCTCCACACACACAGAGGCCCCAAAATCCCCCTTCTTTGTCTTTTCAGGTCCTGACTTCGATTTGATTTACCTCTGTGCTCTGCAGCCGCGGTGGCCTCCGATCTCATGGCCGCCCCCACAAACACTCCATGCTGCCAGTTGAGGGCTTCATAGACAAGAGGGACACCTTTGGTAGGAAAAAAGGAAGCGTTCCTTGAAGACTATGACATTCTGGCTCTAGGATTGGTGACGTCTTTCACCTGCTTCTTTTTTATTGCGCTACTTAACACAATTCAAGGTTATACCACCCCCCAGGCTATGAGGCAGAAGGTAAAACTGGACCAAGCTATCTTAGATCAGAGATCCAGAAGGCTGTAGGGGACCAGGAGGGCTGGCTCTACATTTGAGTTTGCCGATCATTCTGGACCCAGGGCCCGCTCTGACAAGGTCACGGAAGAGGAGAGGTCCTCCACGGTCCAGCCCAATTGGGGGAAGCCTCACCGGTGGGTCTGCGGCCCCCAAAGATGATGCCCTCGATGGGCACACCTTCCGGAGACTCCCAGGCAGGATCGATGATGGGGCACTGGCTCGCAGGGGTGCAGAACCGCGAGTTGGGGTGGGCACAAGGTTCCCCTACGGTGCGAGAGGGAGAGGCCCTTAGCATCCGGCCCCGACGGGTGGCGCCTACGGCCCAACCCTGTGGACTCTGGAGGGACTCACCATCCTGCGGGCTCCATTCTTTGTTTTTCCAGGAAGTGATCGTGACGCCCGAGGCCAGCGGCTCGTCGATGCCCTCCCAGTAAACGCCGCCATCGCTGGTCTCGGCCACGTTGGTGAAGATGGTGTTCTTCCGCACAGTCTTGATGGCGTTGGGGTTCGTCTTCACTGAGGTGCCGGGAGCCACACCAAAAAAGCCATTTTCGGGGTTGATGGCCCTTAAGTTACCTGGACAGTGGTAAACCAGAACATGCCATCGGCTCTTCTGCCTTGCTGAGCTAGTCTGGGTGCAAATGCTCAAATCACGTTTTTCCCTCCCTAGATGATACATCTGTCTGCTTTTCATGGAGCATCATATTCAACTCTGAGACGTTTCACAACTCATTCTTCTTTCTCAGCTTCAAGAAATCTATAGATGTAAAATGAACAGCAACGCACAACCACACTTCCATCCAGGCGAACCCTCCTGGAGACTGCTCACTGCATAGCATGTCTGAGGTTTGCAAGCCCAATTAAGCACCCGCCCCCACAGGTTCAGACCGCGGTGCATGAGAGGCTCCACAGCCCTCTAACGTCTGACGATTATCAGCAGGTGGGCGTCAAAGAGTCACCTTGGTCATCGAATTTCATCCAGGCGATGTCGTCGCCTACACACTCGACTTTCCACCCCGGCAGTGTGGGGTTCATCATGGCGAGGTTGGTCTTCCCGCAGGCACTGGGGAAAGCAGCCGCCAGGTACTTCTTCTCGCCTGCGGGGTTGGTGATGCCCAGGATCTGTGGACACAAGGTTTCTCGTTACAGTGTCTGCGCCCAGGGGTTTGCACGGTGCCTAAGACCTCCAGGAAGGCAGGTCCTGGCGTCTATTTCTTTGTTGAGCAGGACGCATGTTGCAAGGATGCAGGATCTCCATTGCCCCTGCTGTGTTTGGGCGTGTGGAGGGTCATCTGCTGGGGCGCTCGCAGTGATTCACGGGATCCCCTAATCTGCCCACCACCCTACAAGCAGAGTGAATTGCCAGGGGCTCCCAGACACCGCCCGGCCCCACCGCGGGGTTACCCAGGCCTACCAGCATGTGCTCCGCCAGCCACCCCTCCTCCTTGGCCAGCCGGCTGGCTATCCTGAGCGCAAAGCACTTCTTCCCAAGAAGCGAGTTGCCCCCATAGCCGCTCCCGAAGGAGACGATCTCCCTGCGGTCGGGCAGGTGGGCGATGAGGGTCAGGTCCGGGTTGCAGGCCCAGTTGTTGACCAGAGGCCCTGCGAAGGCGTGAGCCCCGTTAGTGAGCCCAGAGCGACATCCACACCCGCCAAAGCTGACTTCTCTGTCGGCTTTCGAGTCTGGAGCGAGGCACTCACTTTTTAAAGGCAAAGGGCAGCCCACGGAATGGAGACACTTGATGAAGTCCCCGTCCCCCAGGGCCTGCAGGGCAGCCGTGCCCATACGCGTCATGATCCGCATGCTGGCCACCACGTAGGGCGAGTCGGTCAGCTCCACGCCAAGCTTGGACAGCGGTGAGCCCAGGGGCCCCATGCTGAACGCGATGACATACATGGTGCGACCTGCGGGGGCGGGCAGCGGAAGACTGAGAAGCGGCCTTGGTCACTCGCAGCCCCCTCCGCCACTTCCCCAGGGTCCACACCGAGCTTGGTGGGGAATGAATGGCCATAGTCGAAGCGCTTTCTTAAATGTGCAGCTGACTTCTACCAAGGTATTGGAAACACACACGCAGAGAGAAAGCATCTCAGTGTTCACCCAAGACGTCTGTACAGCCAGAGCCAGGTGTATGTTTTCATGAGCGGAAATGAAAGACCCCGGAGGCTATATGGTGACAATCCCCACTAGGAGAGACACGGGACAACAGGCTCCCTGTTACTTTACCCAGCAAGGTGACCCCTCTCACCTTTCATGCACCCAGGGAACCTGGCATTGAACGCTTTCTCAAAGTCCTCTTCTGACATCCAGCGACCCAGCTGGCTGAGGCCGGTCCTGGGGATGGGCACCGTGTCTCTTTGCTCCTGGGTAATGATCACGGTCTTGCTTTCCACCCTGGCCACATCCCTGGGGTCAGTGAGTGCCAACCAACTGCAAAGAATCGTAGGATTCCCTTCAGTCAGCGTCACTGGGAACACCCGGCAAGAGGTGCTGCAGGAGAGCCAAAGCCAAGCCAACTGGGGCCTGGCCAGGTAAGTGCCAGACTGTGAACAGGCCTGGGGACGGGGCGGTCATTTCTTTTTATCAGGAACAGTGTGCCAGGAGCGTCCCGTTTATAGTATGGGTGACTGTGCAGGTGTCAGAGGGCCTCTGCAGTCCTGACAAAATTTTTAAAGAGCTCCACACACACACACATACACACGAGGTCTCCATTCACCTCTCACCCAAGCCCGGAACTGCAGGGGCCGGGCTGTGGGCGCCGGGGGGCCTTACCAATTGTCGTACTTCTTCAGCTTCCTGATCATGCCCTCTTCCTGCATGCGGGCCAGCAGCCGCCCGTTCTCCTCCTCGGAGCCATCGCAGATGTGGATGTGATCCGGCTGGCACAGCTGCACGCTGCTCTCCACAAACTCCCTCACTGCCCGGGGCAGGCTGTCCAGGCTGCCTTGCACAACCTTGGCGGAGAAGTCCTGGCCGCTGTGCAGCTGAGGAGGCATCTCTGCAGAGGGGCGTTGAAGGCTACCAATGCCAAGGTCACCTGAAACAGAGGCCGCAAGTTCCTGAGCCAAAATACCCACAGATACCTCCCCAGCACATTCAACAGACTTTGTTTGGGCTGCACGTGGCCAGGCGGTTATCCGCTTGAAGGGAAAAAATACAGTGAGTTCACATTGTCGCTGGAAGTTTTAGAAATATGAGTAAGAGGGTCCTACCTGCCTTTCTCCCTTTGGACGATCTCGATGAGATCCAAGGGTGTCCGGCGAGTGGGTGTTCCCCGTGGGAAGGCTGAGTTCAATGGCAGAGCCTCCCGGCTTTAAGTACAGTGGAAGAGGACGGCCCTGCCCTGGGCTGCCCGGGGAGGCTCGCCTCTGACGTCAGGGGCAGGTCCTGGATCCTGGCCACGGTCAATGATGTTTTGGACCAACTTACTACAATAAACTCTAGAGAGATAATCATTGAACAGACAGTTGTTAATGAATGTTGGGAGGCCTCGAGCCTCGAGAACAGCCACATTGAGCCCTTACACAACTTTTGATTGGCTAAACCTTGACCCCTTTCACTGCTGATGCAAAACGTACACGCTTTCCTTGACAGGCAGGTAGGGTCAAGGACAAGTCTGGCCGAGGCACCTTCTGGATTTCAAATGTTGGCAGCACATTTTGTGTGCCGACAGCCACTGTTTGGCAAAACAAGAGTTGTGAGGTGTCACCCAGCAGTCAAAGTTCATGAGGAGGAATACACCCGCCTCAGGCTAATGTACAGCTTATTGGCAAAGATCTGAGTGAATTCGGTGCTAATAACCTTATTGGATACCTGCTGTGTGCCCTGGCTGCCCATCCAAAAATAAATTCCACGAGGGTAGGGGGCTCTGCCTGTTTTTCTCACATTCGTAACTGCAAGGTGTGGCACACAGTGGGCCCTGCATGCATGTGCCAAGCCATTTTCTAAAAGTTCTGCATCGGCCAGAGGCAGAGGCTGTCACCAGCTCTGCATGCAGATGAGGAAACTGAGGCAAGGAGACCAAGCAGAGGTGGGAGGCAGAGGGAGGATATGAACACCAGCCAGCCAGGCTCTGGAACACTGCGTGGCCCCCTGTGAGGTCCCACTAGCTTCTCTGGAATTGTCTCTATTTTCCCCCCAAGGAGTTCTGGGCTCAGGACAAATGGTCCTGCAGCCGACTGGGCTTCCCTTGCAAGTCTGAGTCCAGGGTGTGGAGGGGGCTTGGCGGTTTTACTAGATTACACTTAAGCAATGAGACCTTTATAACAGCTGTAAAGAATTTGCTTTGCAAGCTGCCAGAGCTTCAATTCCATTTAATGACTCTCAAGGCGGTGTGCTGGGGTTGAGAGAGTACTAGGTGAGAAGTCAGGAGCAGGGCCCAGCTCCTAGCCCCAAGACCCAGGCCCAGCTAATCATTCCGGGGAGCCGCTACCTCAAAAGAGGCAGAGCGGGGGTCTGGTCTACCTCCCCGGGGTGTGGGGTGAACGGAAGAGTTAACTCCTTGACTGTGTCTGCAGTCATCCAGGGCAAATCCAAGGCCCTGCAAATGGTGATCCCCAACCCGGAGCTTGGTTCACTCAGACAACAACAGAAGTGAGGAAACACGGCCTCTTTTGCCCACACTGATCATGACCCTGATGCCCGGGTTCACTTATTCCAGTTTTTATTCAACTAGTTGGGTCTTTCAGTGTAAATACAACAGGAGATGCTTAATTCAGGAAGGGTTATTTCCCTCCAAGTCACTGGGATTCATTATTAGTAGAGCCCCGCCCAATAATGCTGTAAATTTTTGTCACTTCAATGCAGCGGCCACGTCACATCCCTTCCTAGCCCCTGATGCCTGCAAACTCAGCCCTGCAAAAGCAAACCCGTGAATACCTGACACACGCCTTCACGCTAGTGTGGTTCCCCTTGCCAAACCGGCAGAGTCTTATTTCACCGATGAAACGGCCCCCTAAGTTCAGTTCCTTGGAAATGCACCTAGATAGGAAACAAACATGAGAAGCCAGAATTTAGCTGGAGTTCTCGCTCCGCGTAAGTTTTAGGCATTTACGTTGTGAGTCTTCTGGGAGGAAAACATCTTAACTAAAATGTAACACAGTGAGTCACTATCACCCTTCCACTGGAGGGTTAATTACCCACATTCACTGTGGAGAGGGGCAGCAGGATGCCCCACCTTTGTGGTGTGAAAAAGCAAACACTAGGCTGCAAAGTTACCTCAGCGCGCAGCGCTCTCTGCTCTCCGCAAGAATCGAGCGACATAAAGACGTAAGAAGGTAAGGTTTTGAAGCCAAAGTGTGGGCAAAGTTTCCTCACCCCTCACTGATGTCACCCTGGGCCACTCTGCACTGTCCCTGTTCTGGGAGGCCTGCAGAACATTGCCCAGGGACCCTCAGCTTAGTGGTAAGGAAGTCTCCAGTTAAGTCCTCCCTGGTGAGTTCAAGCTCAAGGAGCAAGCAGATTGCTGTCCTGCTGGGCAAGCAGAGTCCCCAGGGACGTGCAGTCCACCCGAGGGGACGTCGGGCAAGTGTGGGGGCAGGGTGGGTGCAGCCCTGCAGGTGTCAGTTTCCCCGGGGATTTCTGGGACCCACACCCCAGAGCCCCACCTCACTGTATCAGCAGCTGCCTGAGCTGCATTTCCCTTGGCCTGAGGCTGTTCTTCATAAAATATAAAAAGTGAAGCCCAGATGGAAAACTGCTTTGAGGAAAAGGAGAAGAAACACCAGCTTTAAAAAGGGAGTTTTAAAAGTAACACTGCCTTTTCCTCCCCATTTCCTGAGGCTATAATATATTTCTGTCAGTCAGCTACCGTCACACTTACCGTGGCCACACAAGCTGTATCCTCCACATAGGATAAGCAGACAGCTCTAAAAAGATAAAGAGGTGTTTTGATTTGCTATAATCCCATTTTCTCTAGGAATGCTCAGAGTAAACTTGTTAAGTGTCTGCTAGGCCTCTAGCACCGGGGATGCATTTTTTTTTTTAACAGTGAGCCTTCTCTGCGCCCCAGAAATGGAATATGTTACAGAATTCTCTCTGATAGAAGCCCCTTTTTGCCTTCCCCAGATTCAAGATGAGGAAACAAGAAGCTCAGGAAAGGAACCACACACATTCACTCAGCAAACTTGACCAAGATTTTGCCGTTGTGCGGGCACTTCCCAGATCTGTCCCCAGTCTGTCAGCTGTGACCCTCCTTTCCTCTGTACACTATGTCCTTGAGCACACCCTGGCATGGATCACATACTCATGCCCGGGGCCAGCTTCATGGGGGTGGCCATGCCCATGAAAAGGAAAGGGACCCTCTTGCTCCTACAGGCCCTGTCCCCCGCTGCCTCTCCACCTCCTCAGGACGGGGTCCCGGCCCCTTGCATGCTGGTTCTTCCAGTAGCCTTTGCTGAAGGAGGGGACATCAGCCAGCAAAAGCCATGGCGACAGGTGCAGGGACCACTGGAGGCAGGAGAATGTTTCCTGTGCTTTTTGTTTGTTTGTTTGTTTGTTTCTTTTTATTGAGGTTATTGGTACAATCTAGGTATACAATACAATTACATTCATCATTGGGATTCTGTACCTTTACATAATAGGTCTTGATTCTCGTTTTTCCCCTTGTCCCTGCCCTCCCTTCACCCCCTCCTCCCCTCCCCATTTACAAACACTTTATTTCCATTCTTTCAGTTTCTCATGTATTTTTTCTCGCCCTTATTACCTTTCCCCCACCCTTCCCACTTTCCCTACACCTTTAGCCCTTTACTTCCTATTTCACATTATTAATTATCTCATTAGGATCCTGTGTACTATTGTAGTTTTTCACACCAAAGAAACTATTCGGTATTTCAGTTAAAGAAATCTCTGTA